ACTGGGGCTATTCGTGAAAAAAAAGAGGACTTTCCGTTGACCTTGACCCCACCCCCAAACCCCCAAACCCACAGGAACCGGGGGAAGGGGAAAAAAAGGAAAAAAAAAAAAAAAGGAAAAAGGGGGATTAGAAAAAACTCTTCTTTCTTCTCTCTTTTCTCTCTTTTCTCCCCTCTCTTCCTCCGTTTCTTCCTCTCTGCTCTCTCCCCTCTCTCTCTCCCCTCTTTTCTCTTTAAAAACCCAGTGATTTTAAATCTCCCCCGGGGACTGCCCAGTCTCCCCCAGCCACATTTCTGACAGGGAAACCGGGAAAAATAGGGTAAGGGGTTTCATATGGGAGGGGTGGGGGGCATCTGTTCAGACCAGAAGACTGGAGCTAAATAACCAGTTAGTTAGAATATCTAGGGGCTCATTTCAAACCGTATCCACTGAAGCGTTACAATGCCCTATAGGGCGGCAGGTAGCTTAGTGGGTAAGAGCGTTGTGCCAGTAACCGAAAGGTCGCTGGTTCTAATCCCCGAGCCGACTAGGTGAAAAATCTGTCGATGTGCCCTTAAGCAAGGCACTTAACCCTAATTGCTCCTGTAAGTCGCTCTGGATAAGAGCGTCTGCTAAATGACTAAAATGTAAATGTAAAATGAAAGTCTTCAATAGGAAGTGGCCATGAACACTGAAGTCTGTCTGTGGGCGTTCTAGGTTTGTTTTGTCCTTGGTGATTTGGTTTGTGTAAATATAGTCACTTCACACAACACAAACACGGTGGCCAAGGGAATAAAAACTTTTAATCACTGGAGAAAAATAAATACATAACCTTTTTATAATTCAACAGCCTAAGGACATAATACCTTGCACTTCTATATTTTCAGTAAAATAAAAATAAAAAAGCAGAATTTAAATGTATACATTTCTTTCATAAGAAGCATCTATCTTCAAAACTGTACATCAAGCATTTCACAAAGCAGTTGGATCCTCCGTTTCAGAAATGCTCATCTTTCACATTTTATACACATTAGTTCCAAAGAGGGTCTGCTACATTAGAAACCTCACATCATCTGACAGTTGATGTACGTCTCAGAGAATGGAAGTCTAAGAACATTCCAATGGAACAGTCTTAGAACATCAATGGAACAGTCTTAGAACATTCTAGAACAGTCTTAGAACATTCCAATGGAACGTCAATGGAACAGTCTTAGAACATTCCGGAACAGTCTTAGAACATTCCACAACAACGTTGGCGTTGAGAAATTAGTCCAACAGTCACAGTGCTGCTTGGCAACATTCAGGAGCTCCAGAGCAGGAAGACAGTAGGAGGAGAAGTTATCTGTGTGTCTGCGGCAGACTGTCTGTCCATCTGTCTGTCTGCACCCCTCTGTGGAGAGAGAAGAAGGGATGAGCCACAGGCCAAAAGAAAGACAGACCGCTATAGTATACCATGTCCAGTAAGAGTGAAAATGGATGCCTTTACTCTTTTATGTCATACAACAGTTACTGTCACAGACTTGCTATCAACTCTAACACTTTCTCTACCACTTTACGGCTTCAACTACCTCAGTAACAGACACACACAAGGCCAGTCATTGAAGGCACCAGGCGCGTGGTCGACACACACATACAGGAAGTGGGCTGTGGCCCGCAGGGAGGCATGTGCTGTAATTAACTTCATGTTTCCCAGATGGTAGTTTATTTACCCAGCAGCCCCAGCAGGCAGGCAGAACAGGAGTATAACAGTCAGCCCATGCATGCAGGCCAACAGGCAGGCAGCAGAACGGGAGTCTCCTGTCATGGACTATGACTTTTACACCAAACAGAGCGGACCTGGTCCTGACTGACTGCCTGACTGTCAGCCTGAGGTACAGGACAGGGGCTACCCATTAAACAGGCCTGGTGCTGGGAGGGGATGTGTGGGGGAGGTGCGGGGAGGACGGCGTGTGAGGGGGAGGATGGGAGAGGTGGCTTCCCCAGGAGGCACCTCTCAGATGTTACAGAGACCACCCCCAACACACCCTGCCTGACACTCCAGATGAGGCAAGGCAAAGCTGCTACATCTCTGACCTGGGCTGGCTGCACATGGTGTCTTTCTACGAGGCCCACTGGGAACAGAGGTAACTATGTTTGCAATGGTGACCTCATGTTCACATGGCTAAAGTTGTACTAAGTAGTCTGGAAAAATAACAAAATCACCTTGACATTTAATGCATCTCCCAGATATCGTATCGCTGCTTTACAACATTTGCGTCCAGGAAGGGGCCTCAGTCATTCCTTTGGGGCACAACAAGAGCCTTTTAGCCAGTAAGTGACTTGATCTAAAGGTTAATTCCACGGTAACGGAATTGAGCTGAGACTCAGATTTTTCACTTCAAATGTATGCCAAACAAGAAATCTTTGTTTTCAATGTTCAACAAACCATACAACTCTATGCACAAGGACTACTTTTAACAATTTACGTCTGAAGGTAACCCGGTACCGGTTAAATGAATGGAAGTAGTTTTGTGCCAACATTAAACCCCTTTTTAAAGGCGCACAACGCAGACAGAAATCATTCCGTCAATTCCTGTTTGCAAAAATTCTAATAGTTCGCCTAATTTCAGTTTGTGACAAAACTTGCATGTATAGTGTAGAGAATCATTGTCCAATCCAAACAGCTGTGAAATATCATTTCCATAACCCCAAATATTGTATTTTCAGCTGTTTGAAGCTGGTGTACAAAACCGAAAGTAAAACAGGCAGAAAACAAACTTAAGAACGGGAAGCATAGAAATAGAAATAGCGACATAGAACATATCTACAGTGGGGGGGAAAAGTATTTAGTCAGCCACCAATTGTGCAAGTTCTCCCACTTAAAAAGATGAGAGAGGCCTGTAATTTTCAACATAGGTACACGTCAACTATGACAGACAAATTGAGAAAAAAATATACAGAAAATCACATTGTAGGATTTTTAATGAATTTATTTGCAAATTATGGTGGAAAATAAGTATTTGGTCACCTACAAACAAGCAAGATTTCTGGCTCTCACAGACCTGTAACTTCTTCTTTAAGAGGCTCCTCTGTCCTCCACTCGTTACCTGTATTAATGGCACCTGTTTGAACTTGTTATCAGTATAAAAGACACCTGTCCACAACCTCAAACAGTCACACTCCAAACTCCACTATGGCCAAGACCAAAGAGCTGTCAAAGGACACCAGAAACAAAATTGTAGACCTGCACCAGGCTGGGAAGACTAAATCTGCAATAGGTAAGCAGCTTGGTTTGAAGAAATCAACTGTGGGAGCAATTATTAGGAAATGGAAGACATACAAGACCACTGATAATCTCCCTCGATCTGGGGCTCCACGCAAGATCTCACCCCGTGGGGTCAAAATGATCACAAGAACGGTGAGCAAAAATCCCAGAACCACACGGGGGGACCAAGTGAATGACCTGCAGAGAGCTGGGACCAAAGTAACAAAGCCTACCATCAGTAACACACTACGCCGCCAGGGACTCAAATCCTGCAGTGCCAGACGTGTCCCCCTGCTTAAGCCAGTACATGTCCAGGCCCATCTGAAGTTTGCTAGAGTGCATTTGGATGATCCAGAAGAGGATTCGGAGAATGTCATATGGTCAGATGAAACCAAAATAAAACTTTTTGGTAAAAACTCAACTCGTCGTGTTTGGAGGACAAAGAATGCTGAGTTGCATCCAAAGAACACCATACCTACTGTGAAGCATGGGGGTGGAAACATCATGCTTTGGGGCTGTTTTTCTGAAAAGGGACCAGGACGACTGATCCGTGTAAAGGAAAGAATGAATGGGGCCATGTATCGTGAGATTTTGAGTGAAAACCTCCTTCCATCAGCAAGGGCATTGAAGATGAAACGTGGCTGGGTCTTTCAGCATGACAATGATCCCAAACACACCGCCCGGGCAACGAAGGAGTGGCTTCGTAAGAAGCATTTCAAGGTCCTGGAGTGGCCTAGCCAGTCTCCAGATCTCAACCCCATAGAAAATCTTTGGAGGGAGTTGAAAGTCTGTGTTGCCCAGCGACAGCCCCAAAACATCACTGCTCTAGAGGAGATCTGCATGGAGGAATGGGCCAAAATACCAGCAACAGTGTGTGAAAACCTTGTGAAGACTTACAGAAAACGTTTGACCTGTGTCATTGCCAACAAAGGGTATATAACAAAGTATTGAGAAACTTTTGTTATTGACCAAATACTTATTTTCCACCATAATTTGCAAATAAATTCATTAGAAATCCTACAATGTGATTTTCTGGATATTTTTTTCTCATTTTGTCTGTCATAGTTGACGTGTACCTATGATGAAAATTACAGGCCTCTCTCATCTTTTTAAGTGGGAGAACTTGCACAATTGGTGGCTGACTAAATACTTTTTTCCCCCCACTGTACTTCTTACACGTGCTTTCAATGACAATGACAGATCTATAACTACATTTTTATGTGAATTTGGTCAGGTCGCCCAAAAGGTCACATATTGCAGCTTTAACTATGTGTAGAAATAAACATAAAAATAAATCCTGTGCTTTCCTAGATATAGCTTAAATATAGACCCTTAAATCGTATTCCTCATGATACATTTTTTGACTGTCTGGTTTGCCATTTATGAACGTGTTATTCAATTAGTTTCTATGGGCTATAGCAGTAAAGGCCAAATTAAATAATTTGTCTATATATTTTTTGGATACCTAAAGGGGTCTTACATTTCAAAAATCAAATAGCTAAATGATCCTACCCCCCAAAGGCTTAGACTTTTAGGGGTTAAAGGTAATTTCCTACTGAGCCGACATATGCAGCATTTACCGTGAATGCAGTCTCCGCTAACTCGGGAACATTGTGTTTAAATTTCTATCACACTAACGCTGAACTTCAGCGAAACAGATTGAATCCAGCCGCTAACGTGATCAGGGTCTACTACTTCTCAGTGATCTAACCTCTCCTCATGAAAAGACACTGACCTTCATTGTGAGGAGAAATTGAACTCTGCACCAACCTGCAAGGTGAGGAGACTAAATATTACTAATAGGAACAATGAAAGTCTTCAATAGGAAATGGCCATGGACACTGAAGTCTGTCTGTGGGCGTTATAGGTTGGTTTTGTCCTTGGTGATTTGGTTTGTTTAAATATATATTCACTTCACACACACAAAACGTGCGCACACACACAAACACACAACGCGATGTTCCAAGGAATACAACTTTTAATTTTTAAAAAAAAGAAGAAAAAAAAGGGTTTTATAATTCAACAGCCTGAGGACATAATAAAGGCTGTAAATTGCACTTCTACATTTAAAAAACAAAATAAATCACAAATAAAAAGCAGGCTTTAAATGTATACATTTCTTTCATAAGAAATATCTTCAAAACTGTACATCAAGCTTTTCACAAAGCAGTTGGATCCTCCGTTTCAGAAATCTTCATCTTGCACATTTTATCCACAACATTTTATACACATTAGTTCCAAAGAGGGTCTGCTACATTAGAAACCTCACATCATCTGACAGTTGATGTACTTCTCAGAGAATAGAAGTCTTAGAACATTCCAATGGAACAGTCTTAGAACATCAATGGAACAGTCTTAGAACATTCCACAACAACAACAACGTTGGCGTTGAGAAATTGGTCCAACAGTCACAGTGCTGCTTGGCAACATTCAGGAGCTCCAGAGCAGGAAGACAGTAGGAGAAGTTATCTGTGTGTCTGCGGCAGACTGTCTGTCCATCTGTCTGTCTGCGCCCCTCTCAGTTAGTGTCCACATTAGGCTCAGACCTGGGTCTGCTGTCCATTCAGGAAGAGGCCTGTTGTTGTGGGTGTGGCCAGGTAGCTCTCTGACCCTCAGTCTGTGTTTGGTGGTGTTTCCAGACCAGGTAGCTCCCTGACACTCAGTCTGTGTCCACATGACAGGGGTTAGTCCCAATCTGCTCTGCCTCCTGGTACAGTCTGAGGAAGTCCTTGTATCTCGGGGCACACCCCATCCAGGCCTCCCCGAACCTTACGCTCCCCGTGAACAGGAAGTCTCCATCCCCCTTCCCTGGGCCGGGCCTCACCCCACACTGCCTGGGCATCCTCACCCTGCCTGTCCACCTCCTCACTCTCACCCCCCCTGACACAAACACCTGAGTCTTCTGTCTGTACAGGCGGCTTATCGCCACGGTGACCGACAACTGCTCCGCCTCCTCCTCCACCCCCTGGATGGTGCCTCTCCCCACTACAGAGAGGAAGACAGGAGAGTGTTGATAGATGTTAGAGTACTACAGTACAGTATACTGATACAGTATAATGTGGAACAAATACTACAACAGTAAAATACAAACAATGCCATAAACACAACAGTAACACTTCACATTTAAAGGTCCATTGTATAACTTTGTGGGCGACCCAACCAAATGCACATATAAATGTGAGTTATAGATCTGTCATTCTCATTGAAAGCAAGTGAAATAAGCGGTAGATCAGTTAGCAACCAGGACATTTTGACATATTGTACCTTTAATAACTATACCTAAAAGGATGTATAAAGGGTTTCTAAATAGTTCTTACCAAAGTCGCTGGTGCAGACGGCTAACAGCACCTCAGCATCACTGCAGGGCTGACAGGGAGCTGTGGAGAGAGAAGAGAGAGAGAGAGAAGAGATGAGCTACTGGACAAAAGACAGACAGAGAGTTCTACCAGGGATCAAAGTGAGACCTTCATTATTTAAGGTCAGACAACCCTATCAACTCTAGCACTTCAACTATTTAAAGAACAGTCACAAAGCAGGTCATTGAAGACACGTGCTGCACACACACACAGGAAGTGGGCTGTGGCCCGTAGGGATGCATGTGCTGTAATTAATTTCAGCTCTCCCAGATGGATGCTTATTTACCCAGCAGCCCAGGCAGAACAGGCAGGCCAACAGGCAGGCAGCAGGACGGGAGTCTCCTGTCATGGACTATGACTTTTACACCAAACAGAGCGGACCTGGTCCTGACTGACTGACTGTCGGCCTGAGGTACAGGACAGGGGCTACTCATTAAACAGGCCTGGTGCTGGGAGGGGATGTGTGGGGGAAGTGCGGGGAGGATGGGGTGGCAGGGGGGGGGGGGGGGGGGGGGGGGGGGGGGGGGTTGAGGGTTGGACGGGGTGTGAGAGAAGGATGGGAAAGGTGAGGGGAGGACAGGTGTGAGGGGGAGGATGGGGGAGGTGAGGGGAGGACGGGGTGTGAGGGAGAGGATGGGGAGGTGAGGGGAGGACGGGGTGTGGAGGGTGAGGATGGTGGGAGGTGGATGCCCCAGGAGGCACCTCTCAGAGGCTACAGAGACCACCCCCAACACACCCTGCCTGACACTCCAGATGAGGCAAGGCAAAGCTGCTACATCTCTGACCTGGGCTGGCTGCACATGGTGTCTTTCTACGAGGCCCACTGGGAACAGAGGTAACTATGTTTGCAATGGTGACCTCGTGTTCACATGGCTATAGGCCTGGTTTTGACCTCATGTTGACATGGCTATAGGCCTGGTTTTCACCTCATGTTGACATCGCTATAGGCCTGGTTTTGACTTCATGTAAACATGGTTATATGCCTAGTTTTGACTTCATGTAAACATGGTTATAGGCCTGGTTTTGACCTCATGTAAACATGGTTATAGGCCTGGTTTTGACCTCATGTTGACATGGTTATAGGCCTGGTTTTGACCTCATGTAAACATGGTTATAGGCCTGGTTTTGACTTCATGTAACATGGTTATAGGCCTGGTTTTGACCTCATGTAAACATGGTTATAGGCCTGGTTTTGACCTCATGTTGACATGGTTATAGGCCTGGTTTTGACCTCATGTAAACATGGTTATAGGCCTGGTTTTGACTTCATGTAAACATGGTTATAGGCCTGGTTTTGACCTCATGTAAACATGGTTATAGGCCTGGTTTTGACCTCATGTAAACATGGTTATAGGCCTGGTTTTGACCTCATGTAAAAATGGTTATACGCCTGGTTTTGACCTCATTTAAACATGGTTATAGGCCTGGTTTTGACCTCATGTAAACATGGTTATAGGCCTGGTTTTGACCTCATGTAAACATGGGTATAGGCCTGGTTTTGACCTCATGTAAACATGGTTATAGGCCTGGTCTTTGACCTCATGTAAACATGGTTATAGGCCTGGTTTTGACCTCATGTAACATGGTTATAGGCCTGGTTTTTACCTCGTTTGACATGGTTATAGGTCCTGGTTTTGACCTCATGTAAACATGGTTATAGGCCTGGTTTTGACTTCATGTTGACATGGTTATAGGCCTGGTTTTGACCTCATGTTGACATGGTTATAGGCCTGGTTTTGACCTCATGTAAACATGGTTATAGGCCTGGTTTTGACTTCATGTAAACATGGTTAAAAGGCCTGGTTTTGACCTCATGTAAACATGGTTATAGGCCTGGTTTTGACCTCATGTAAATGGGTATAGGCCTGGTTTTGACCTCATGTAAACATGGTTATACGCCCATTTTTGACCTCATGTAAACATGGTTATAGGCCTGGTTTTGACCTCATGTAAACATGGTTATAGGCCTGGTTTTGACCTCATGTTGACATGGTTATAGGCCTGGTTTTGACCTCATGTAAACATGGTTATAGGCCTGGTTTTGACTTCATGTAAACATGGTTATAGGCCTGGTTTTGACCTCATGTAAACATGGTTATAGGCCTGGTTTTGACCTCATGTTGACATGGTTATAGGCCTGGTTTTGACCTCATGTAAACATGGTTATAGGCCTGGTTTTGACTTCATGTAAACATGGTTATAGGCCTGGTTTTGACCTCATGTAAACATGGTTATAGGCCTGGTTTTGACCTCATGTAAACATGGTTATACGCCTGGTTTTGACCTCATGTAAACATGGTTATACGCCTGGTTTTGACCTCATGTAAACATGGTTATACGCCTGGTTTTGACCTCATGTAAAAATGGTTATACGCCTGGTTTTGACCTCATGTAAACATGGTTATAGGCCTGGTTTTGACCTCATGTTGACATGGTTATAGGCCTGGTTTTGACTTCATGTAAACATGGTTATATGCCTGGTTTTGACCTCATGTAAACATGGTTATAGGCCTGGTTTTGACCTCATGTAAACATGGTTATAGGCCTGGTTTTGACCTCATGTAAACATGGTTATACGCCTGGTTTTGACCTCATGTAAAAATGGTTATACGCCTGGTTTTGACCTCATGTTGACATGGTTATGAAACCCCCAGCCCCTGGTCATATAGTGAAACCCCCAGTCCCTGGCCATATAGTGAAACCCCCAGTCCCTGGCCATATAGTGAAACCCCCAGTCCCTGGCCATATAGTGAAACCCCCAGTCCCTGGCCATATAGTGAAACCCCCAGCCCCTGGCCATATAGTGAAACCCCCAGTCCCTGGCCATATAGTGAAACCCCCAGTCCCTGGCCATATAGTGAAACCCCCAGTCCCTGGCCATATAGTGAAACCCCCAGTCTTAGGGCTATACTACAGGTCACATACACCCAGCCACTCTCCTCTACCCTCCTCCTGGAGTCTGCAGTCTCTAGTGAGGTCTTTATGACAGAGGAAAGGTCTCTAAATCAGCCCAGTCTGCAGTCTCTAGTGAGGTCTTTATGACAGAGGAAAGGTCTCTAAATCAGCCCAGTCTGCAGTCTCTAGTGAGGTCTTTATGACAGAGGAAAGGTCTCTAAATCAGCCCAGTCTGCAGTCTCTAGTGAGGTCTTTATGACATGGAAAGGTCTCTAAATCAGCCCAGTCTGCAGTCTGTAGTGAGGTCTTTATGACAGAGGAAAGGTCTCTAAATCAGCCCAGTCTGGATTCTCTAGTGAGGTCTTTATGACAGAGGAAAGGTCTCTAAATCAGCCCAGTCTGCAGTCTGTAGTGAGGTCTTTATGACAGAGGAAAGGTCTCTAAATCAGCCCAGTCTGCAGTCTCTAGTGAGGTCTTTATGACAGAGGAAAGGTCTCTAAATCAGCCCAGTCTGCAGTCTCTAGTGAGGTCTTTATGACAGAGGAAAGGTCTCTAAATCAGCCCAGTCTGCAGTCTCTATGAGGTCTTTATGACAGAGGAAAGGTCTCTAAATCACGCCCAGTCTGCAGTCTCTATGTAGGTCTTTATGACAGAGAAAGGTCTCTAAATCAGCCCAGTCTGCAGTCTCTAGTGAGGGTCTTTATGACAGAGAAAGTCTCTAACATCAGCCCAGTCTGCAGTCTCTAGTGAGGTCTTTATGACAGAGAAAGGTCTCTAAATCAGCCCAGTCTGCAGTCTCTAGTGAGGTCTTTATGACAGAGGAAAGGTCTCTAAATCAGCCCCGTCTGGCAGTCTCTAGTGAGGTCTTATGACAGAGAAAGGTCTCTAAATCAGCCCAGTCTGCAGTCTCTAGTGAGGTCTTTATGACAGAGGAAAGGTCTCTAAATCAGCCCAGTCTGCAGTCTCTAGTGAGGTCTTTATGACAGAGGAAAGGTCTCTAAATCAGCCCAGTCTGCAGTCTCTAGTGAGGTCTTTATACAGAGGAAAGTCTCTAAATCAGCCCAGTCTGCAGTCTCTAGTGAGGTCTTTATGACAGAGGAAAGGTCTCTAAATCAGCCCAGTCTGCAGTCTCTAGTGACAGGGGAAGTCTTCATTAGGTCTTATTAAACACGTGGCTAGAGGGTCAGCCCCACAGCGAAAGTCTTCATTAGACCTTATTGAACAGTAGTTGTCTTTAACAGCAGAATAACTAACCAAGGAGGACAGAAGGAGAGAGAGAGGGAGGGTTTAGATGATGGGTTAGTGGTCCGGTTATCCTCAATACTGACTGGCTGGCTGGCTGGCTGACTGGCATGCTGGCTGGCTGGCTGGCTGGCTGGCATGCTGGCTGGCTGGCTGGCTGACTGGCTGGCTGGCTGACTGGCTGGCTGACTGGCTATTCAAACAGTCCAGTGAAATAATATTAAGGACATTCTAATTCAAGGATTCACATGACCAGATATGTCTGTTAGATTCAGATATAACCATGGTAACACTTTACATGAAGGGTTTATACATTTTATAAAGCACTTTATATACTAGATATAAACTAATGATTAGCAGTCTCTAAAGTACTTAAAAGCCCTATATAAAGTGCACCTTAGTGTTACCGAGACTAGAGCACAATCTCTACAGCCCTGCCCTGTCACCTCTGACCTGTTCAGAGACAACTGACGGCTTTTTAAAGCTGATCCTTGCAGAGGAGACCATGACCCTTAGGCATGTTTCCAGGCAGGGGGGATTCTTTTTAGACAGGTTTGTCTGAAGTCTGATGGTGAGGCTCAGTGAGGGGGGGGGGATGGGTAGGGGTTTGACGGGGAGGGTGAGGGGGGGGTTGAGGGGGAGGGTGAAGGAGGGGGTTGAGGGGGGGGGGGGGTGAGGGGGGTTTTTTGGGGGGTTTTGGGGGGCCCTTTTTGGGGGGGTGGGGGGGGGGGGGGTTTTGGGTTTCAAGTCCCAGTCCTGGTTTTGTACCCACATGGCCGGCCCCCCCCCAACAAGGTCAGAGGTTAGGGTGGGGGTTCCCACCCCAAGGCTCGGGGCTTAGAACGCGGAGAGGAGGTGCATCAAGTAGCCGACCAACAATGACCGCCCCCCCCCTCCCCCCCAGGCAACGAGTAAGCGGGGCCCTTTGATGAGGGGTTGGGGCTGCCGCCAAGTTTCAAAAACCTTTGGCCCGGGTGTACTGGGGCCCCAAAACCCTTTAACCCTTTCTGTAACCCAAACATACCCTTTCCCTTTAAAGTGCAACTATTTTAACCGGGGCCCAAGGGGATGGGGGGCTATTCGCGAGGCGCCACGGTTTTTCCAGCTAGCTCTCTCCCCCCTATCTCTCCTCTGGTCCTCTCTTCCCCTTCTGGTTCCTCCCCCTCTGGTCTCCCCCTCTCCTCCCCTTCTGGCTCCCCCTCTCTCTTTTGGTCTCCCCTTCTCTCTCCTCTGGTCTCCTTCCCCCCGGGCTCCCCTGGGGGGTTAAAAACCTTCTCTCTCTCTCTGGTCTCTCCTTCCCCCTCTCGGGTCCTCCTCTCTCTGGTCTCCTTTTTTTGGTCTCCCTTCTTGGTCTCCCCCCTCTTCCTTCCCTCTGGTCTCCCCCTCTCTGGTCTCCCCCTCGGCCCTCTCTTCTGGCTCCTCTCTCTCTGTTTTCCCCTCTCTCTCTTTCTTTCCCCTCCCTCTCTTCTCTCTGGTCTCCCCCGGGCCCCCTCTCTCTCCTTCTCTTTTGGTCCCCCCTCCGGTCGGGGGCTCACATGTCGACATAAACTTGCCACGGAATGGCCGGGCTGTCGGTTGGAGTCACTTTCCTCAAACCCCCAAACCCCCAACACTGCCGCTCCCACACAACCACTTCACAGGGGGGGATGAGGGTGGGGAAAGGTGGAGGGAAAAAAAGGGGAATTGTCCCCGCTGCAACATCTGGTCCCAATGCATTCCCCCCTCTAATGGAGCGCAGAAACCCCCCCTTTTGATGACAACCACTTCAAATCAAGGAAAAGGGAAAACAGGCGGATAGATAAGGGAAAAGGGGTGAAAGAGACGTAGACGGGGGGAAAAAGGAGGAAAAGGGGGGGGCAAGGAAGAAGAGAGAGGGCGAAGAGGAGAAAGAGAGAAGAAAAAAGCGGGGGGGAGAAAGGGAGGCCAAGGGGACAAAAAAAGGGAAAAACAGAAAAAAAAAAGGGGCAAAAGGGAAGAAAAAGGAAAAAAAAAAGAAAGGAAAAAAAAGAAAAAAAATAAAAAAAAAAAAAGGAAAAAAAAAAAAAAAAAAAAAAAAAATAAAAAAATTTTTTTTAAAAAAAAAAAAACCCTTTTTTTTTCCCAAAAAAAAATTTTCCTTTTTTTTCCCCTTTTTTTTTTTTTTTTTTTCCTTTTTCTTTTTTTTTAAAATTTTTTTTAATTTAAAATTTTAATCCCCTTTTTTTTAAAAAATATTTAAAAGTTATTAAATTTTTAAAAAAATTTTTTTTTATCTCTTTTTTTTCTTTTTTCTCTTGGGTTTTTTTTTAAATTTTTTCCTTTTCCCCCCCCTTTTTAAAACCCCCTTTTAAAAGAAAAAACAAAGCTTTTCCCCCCCCCCCCCCTAAAATGAGATTAAAAAGGGATTTCCCACCCCCAAAAAAAACCCTTTTCCCCCTTCCTTTTCCAAAAGGGGAAAAGGGCCCTCCCCCCCCCGCAGGGGTGCAAAAAACAAAAAAAACAAAAAAAAAGGAGGGGAAAAAAAGGAAAGGGGGGGGGCATAAAAAAATGTAGTTCAAAAAATATAAAACCTAGAAGAAGAAATGATCAAAAATAGTAAAAAAATTCAATATATATATCAAAAAGATATAATATATATAATATATAATTATTCCATATTATTATTCATATTTTTATATTAAAATATATATTTTGATATATATATATATTATTCAGATTATTTTATTCATATTCATATATCTCTTTCAATAATTAATAGCATATTATCTTAATATAGAAGATTAATATTTTATCTATCTTTTTCTCTTTTTTCTCTTCTTTCTTCTTATTCTCTCCTCTCTTCTCTTTCTATTTCTATCCCTTATCTCTCTTCCTCTTTCTCTCCTCTTTTCTCCTTTCCTACGATTTTAATATCGTTAAGTTTCTCTCCCTTGGTTTTCACAACTTTTCCTCTCCCTTATTTAGATACTCCAGGAATGGAGGAGAGAGCAACTCAATCCCACACAGCAGGTCTGAAAAGAGAAACTAAAAGAAGTGGAGAAAAACAACAGAGATGGGGGGGAAAAATTGGGGGGAGAGGGAGAACAGAGCCAAACAATTTTCACTCAATCACCAACCCTCTAGACCCTGCTCCCGATTCAACGACACAAGCCCAGGGCCCCCTCCCTCCCCCCTCTCCCCCGGGGCTAGGGACCTGCGCCACATCACACCACAAGCTCATAACCACAGAAAGCACAGAGCGCAGGAAACCAGCCGGGCAAAAACCCTGAGCCTTAGGCTACTAACTAAAATTAGAACCTGGGCCCCCCAGCACTACCATTAAGCCCAACCTGAGCCAACATAACTACTACAACCTGGCCAAAAAAACCATTACACCCCTATGTTAGATCTAAGCCCAACCTGGCCAACACTAGTACAACCTGGGCAACAACCCATTACACCCACTATGTTAGATCCCCTTCATTAAGCCCAACCTGAGCCAACTACACTAGCTACAACCTGGCCAAAACAACCATTACACCACTATGTTAGATCACCTTCATTAAGCCCAACCTGAGCTAACTACACTAGCTACAACCTGGCCAAAACAACCATTACACCCCCTATGTTAGATCCCCTTCATTAAGCCCAACCCTGAGCCAACTACACTAGCTACAACCTGGCCAAAACAACCATTACACCCCTATGTTAGATCCCCTTCATTAAGCCCAACCTGAGCCAACTATACTAGCTACAACCTGGCAAAAACAACCATTACACCACTATGTTAGATCACCTTCATTAAGCCCAACCTGAGCTAACTACACTAGCTACAACCTGGCCAAAACAACCATTACACCACTATGTTAGATCACCTTCATTAAGCCCAACCTGAGCCAACTACACTAGCTACAACCTGGCCAAAACAACCATTACACCACTATGTTAGATCACCTTCATTATGCCCAACCTGAGCCAACTATACTAGCTACAACCTGGCCAAAACAACCATTACACCACTATGTTAGATCACCTTCATTAAGCCCAACCTGAGCTAACTACACTAGCTACAACCATTACACCCCTATGTTAGATCCCCTTCATTAGGTCCTGACTGTTTATCAGTCTCTCTATCTCACCATTGTGCCAGCTGATTATGCAGGATATGAACACGTGACCCCAGAAAGAGGTAGAAACAGATGTAACTCCTATTACTCCTATTAGTGGAAGAAAAACACAGTGTCTCTGGTCTGGATCTCTTCACAGCCAGGAGTCATGCAGGTTTGGCAGGTACACAGCATGATGAAAACACGGCTCTGTTTTTAGAGTGAGGGCCTCTCCGTTCCACTGTAGCCCTCCATACAGACACACCAGGGTACCGTAGGAAAGGCAGTGGTTGGTTATGAAACACTCCCCAAGTCAACTCAGTCCCATGGGTACACCAGTTCATAAGACTAACTTGTGGGAAGGTAACTGTGAAATATCAACATAGAATTGTCAGTGTAACATAATATTATAAAAACAACACTGAGATTCAGACTTTCTTCAGTAAAAAGATAAATAAACTGAAGATTGAATATCAAAAATAATTTGGAATTGTTTTTTCTTATAAATACAGATCTGCAAACGGAGACGTTTTCACCAGCAGATGGCTGCATTTAGTACAGAGCTATGTCATGACTACAGACACCAGGACAAAGGAAACTACTTCATAGTGAGTCAATCAAAAAAAACTGTCAGCTGAATGCCCAGTTGACTTTCTCTGATCTACCTCAGTCTGGATAACTCAACTGGAACAGTAAGGATACTGTTCAGGCCTCATGACACACAAAACTTAAGGGATAGGTCACCAAAATGACATCATTAGTTAGATGGTTCCTTTCCTTGAATGTAGTCTCTGGGCCAATCAGGAGAGTCTGTAATCCACTGTTAGGATTAGTCTATTTAACCACTGCCACCAACTTTAGCATTAAAAGGGGGATGTTCAGGATTTTACAAATGTATGTTAGAAGGTTCCTCACCTTGAATGTAGTGTAATGGACCAGGAGAAACTATAATCTATGGTTCAGTTGTCTGTCAGCAGCCACTACAAACTTCAGTTGACTTTAGCCACAGAGTTTCTAAACCCAGAGCCGCAACATCGCAAGACTTCCGGGCATGCTTGTGAAACAGACCGACCAGACCAGGCCGGGGTTTGGGGTATGAGAAGTCAAAGAGAGAGGTGAAGAAATTATTTATTTTCTCTAAATCTAAAAAGGCACAACCTAGATTCGAGACAATGTCTTAAATAGTTGAACATGTTCCTCTTTAAGGAATACCTGGAATAGTATAAAGTGGTTGTCCCACTGGCTATCATAAGTTGAATGCACCAATTTGTAAGTTGCTCTGGATAAGAGCGTCTGCGAAATGATGTAAATGTAAATGTTATTACTCTAACGTTGTGAAAGTGACAAACTGACACGCTTTTCATTTGTCATAAACAACTTTATATGAAAAGAGTGCCTTTGATTTGACGGCCTGCACATGCACAGTTCGGCGCGAAACGACCGTTAGACGTGAGCTTTGATAGCCAACGTCACCATGACATCGCCTACAATTGTGAACGGGAATTTCTACTGGAGAAGCAGTTTTAGGCCTTACTGTACTGTCTTTACTTTAGCCATGCTGAACTTCCCCTTTAATGACCAAAGCAACAACAATAGGAGTGTATCTTACCGGACAGTGCGTGTGGCTCCACCCCAGCCAAGGCTCCACCTCCGGTCCTCTCTGTCACCAGCTCATACTGAAACGAGGTGATCCTCTTACTGATGTCTCTGTGAGGTATGGCCTCTATGAACATAGCCCCTTCCTGGATGCTGAAGCAGGTCACCTTCCCCTGGGCCTGGTCCTGCTCCCTCAGCAGCAGACGCAGCTTCCCGGCCCGGTCCAGGTAGATGTTAGCCCCGTGGGAGTCCCTGGAGGGCTTGATGCAGACGGAGAGACGGGCGGCTGCCGGGGACTGGGTGTTGGGCCGCAGGTTGACGATGATGGCCCCTGTAGGGTAGAGCCAGTCGAGGGAACCCTGGGAACAACGCAGGTAGACCTGCTCCACATCACGTGTGTGGCCCTCATGGGTTAGTCCACTGGGAGGGGGGGGGGGGGGGGGGGGGGGGGAGAAAGGTCAGTGTGGAAGTGGAGGAGGTGAACAACACATCATGGACAGAGTCATGGACACACTCCTAACACACTTTTGATAGGTGTGAAAGAATTAGAAATAATTATATATTTGGTCTGGAGAAAAACATGGTGTTTTGGGTGAGAAATGCCAACCATGAACCATTGTCTGTGACTGCCTGTCCAACAGTATGAAAGTGTCTGTATGAATATGAACAGAGAATAAGCTAATCAGTGGTTCACCAGCCAAGAACCAAGCCCCTCCAAAAAAATAGGCCTATAACTTGGCACAAGAACAGAAAATGTCAGCTTTCTTCTGGTAACCTTTTCTGAAATACAGTGCCGCTTCAAAGAGAAATATCAGCGCTTCGCGTGATCATGAGGGTCAGTTCTGCCTCTGATCATACTCAACAGGCAGACTACAGACTGCAGCTCTGTGCCAAGAAGAAGACTGTTTCAATGGAACCTTATTCCCTATACAGGGTCTGGTCAAAAATACTGCACTATATTGGAAATAGGCAAAGTGTGTGTGTGTAGCTGTGTGTGTGTGTGTGTGTGTGTGCTGTGTGTGTGTGTGTGTGTGTGGTGTGTGTGGTGTGTGTGTGTGTGTGTAGCTGTGTGTGTGTGTGTGTGTGTAGCTGTGTGTGTGTGTGTAGTGTGGTGTGTGTGTGTGTAGCTGTGGTGTGTGGTGTGTAGATGTGTGTGTGTGTGTAGTTGTGTGGTGTGTGTGTGGTGTGTAGTGTGGTGTGTGTGTAGCTGTGTGTGTAGCTGTGTGTGTGTGTGTGTGTGTGTGTGTGTGTGTAGCTGTGTGTGTGTGTGTGTGTGTGTGTGTGTAGCTGTGTGTGTGTGTGTGTGTGTGTAGCTGTGTGTGTGTGTTGCCTGGCGGTGGTTTAATATCCTTAGACAAAGTGTTAAGGCTCCTGCGCCTCCGTGCTGCACACGGCCGACAGCATGACCAGTCACGAGCCGCCCTGCCTCCACGCGGCTCAACTGACCTCAACCCCAACACACACGTCTTATGGCACATCGTTCCTTCTGGGCTCACTGCTCTGGCAACACATTACCGACTGCCTGGCAGGCTGCGGCAGGGTCGGAGAGGGGGAGGGGGAGACAGAGTCTAGAGACAGAAGTGGATGAATGAACAGGAGAGGGACACAGACTCACAGAGGCTACATCCCAAATTGCACCCTATTCCCTATATAGCACCATAGGCCCTGGTCAAAGGTATTCTACTGTATAGGGAATAACATGCCATTTGGGACACAGCCTCACAGAGGCTTCTGCTGCACCGCGAACACACAGTGGAGTCGACTTAGACAACCAACGACAGCAACAGTAACCAGGCTGCCAGGAGGCTCTGCTGAATGCAAGAGCAGAATGCAGGTCAATCACCCAAACCTCCCCTTGCTGCCGGGACAAAAGGACTGGAAGAGACATGTCCGGGCAGCACTCTGGACAGAACTGACCCCCCTGGCGCCAGACAGACAGCACCACCAAACCACTCACTCCATACACACATTGACAGGCCGAGTGTCCCAAATGGCACCCTATTCCCTATTTAGTGCACTACTTTTGACCAGAGGTCTATGGGCACTCTAGGGAATAGGGTGCCATTTGGGATGCACACACAGAACTTAACGCATCATCTCAGTGTAGCTCAGTTGGTAGAGCATGGCGCTTGCAACGCCAGGGTTGTGGGTTCGATTCCCACGGGAGGCCAGTATGAAAAATGTATGCACTCTAACTGTAAGTCGCTCTGGATAAGAGCGTCTGCTAAAATGACTAAAATGTAAAATGCAAATAATCTGAAGTCCTAGACTAGGACCCAAGTCTGTCATTCGTAGCAAAGCCAAGCTATAGAGGCCTATAGGCTGGAAACTAGCAGCAGACTTCTATTACCATATGGATGCCATGCCAACAGCAACATGCTGGTGGTTAGGATGTTTTTGGAAGGAATGACCCAATTTAAAAATGAAAATGAAATGGTGAAATATGAATAAGGCCCATTGATGTGAGGACCAGAGGAGAGCACATGCTGGTCAATCATAACCCAACCAGCCTCTCCACTCCTCACCACATTCTCTTTAATTAACTCAGTTCAACTCCTCCTCCACCATCTCTCCGTCTCTAGTCTGCATGCAATTAGAAGAGATTAGCTAAAAGGAGAGCTAACGAGCAACAGATTCATTGGTACAGGCTCAGAGTAACTGCTTAGTTAGACTACTCCTCGGCTGGCTTAGAAGAGGAAACATTACCACTTTCTCTTCCTGGCACTGCAGCTCACCCAATTGGACACTCACCCAATTGGACACTCACCCAATTGGACACTCACCCAATTTCACCCACTAGATTGTCTGTAATAGATGATTGATGATGAAAAGTAATGTTTTTACCTGTGTAACATCACCATATCATCAGCAGTAATTGAATACCTACATTGAGCATATTAGAGGCATTAATGAAGTGTCAAACTTCAAGAGGTGTCAGTCAAGTACTAAAGCCTCTTACTATATCAATATTTAAGCCATGGTGCTGCTTCTAAAAAGTCCGACTATACATGTTATAACAAGTGTAGGTAGGGAAGTAACAACCAAAAGCGCAAAGTGGCCTTGAGATGTAGAAAACTACTAAGGTAGCCTGTTATTGACGTTGTGAGGAGCCACCTCAAACTGTACTTTTACTGCTGTAGGTTAACTAGGCCATCATGTCCTCTAATCAGTGTGTTTATTCATTAAACAATGTATTCATTAAACAATGTATGCATTACCATTTTGAACATCGAAATATATATCGAAATTAAACGTGCTCCTAAAAGTGTTCCAAATTAGAACGCTTGGATTCAAAAAGGGTCAATTTCAGTTGATTATTAATGCTTTAAAATATAATTAGCAAAAATATGTAATAATCTCAAAACCATTAAGTTGTGAAAATAAATTAAAATAAATAAACCTCTGCACTTGGCTTCCTTGACAGAAGTAGCATTCCACAGACCTGACTCAAGGTGATCATTCAGTGAGAGGGAAACAATATTGCAATTCACCTCTCAGAAGAGAATGGATAACTCATTCTCTATTTAGTTTATTACATGGTAACAATCTCTTCACCAGTCGGCCTTGGATAAAAACACTGACGCATTCACCATTCTGTAACTTTAATTTCCAAAAACTAAGCATTCAAATCTAAATGGTAGCCTACAAATAGTGCGTCTGCACAGCTCCTTTTCAATTGGACCATTATGAACAAGCAGTTCATGAAATAATGAAAGTTATAAAGTTATAAAGAAGAACTCTCACCTGCCCTTCCAACTACACTGATCGCTGGAGTATTGAGAGAACGCTATCCCGACACAGCAGGAGAACCGATAGAAAGTATGCCAAAATCGGTGTCAGCATGTTTAATCCCACCGCTGTTGCTCCGAGCGCAACACTTTCCTTCTTCTCAACTAAAACAACCAAATCCACCCGCGTAACTCCAACGACATAACGTCCCCATCGGTTCTGCTCGCTAGTTAAAGTGTCGAGTGTTGTTTTTTTTCTCCGGTAAAGGCCAGTAGAACAGCTAAAAAAGCGCTACTTCACCTAGAACCATCCACTATATCGTAGCCTACAACGGACAGCGGCTGCTTGAATTCCTTTACTGGAACTTCAGTGAGTGAATTTCTTTCTCTGATTTCTTCTCCACGTCACTCCCCTTCACCCAGCAGATCAGCACGCGTGCGCAATGCATTATCGGCTAGATCTTGGAAGTATGTTTCTACAATTACAAAATCTCACCTGGGCTAGTATCTACTTACTAGGAACTTATAAATCATACATTAGAAAGTCTACAGTCGAACTAACTAACCCACAGTTGAAAGGTTGGGTAAGTTGACTGAGTGATCTGTGGTTCATTATCTCAAACTTTTCCTTTCCAAAAGTGCCCCCTCATCATTGCAATTCCCCTTGATATCTGTTGTCAGTCATTTGTTATGATGACATATGTGGGTACAACTATATTGTCCGTTACATTAGATAGGCTGTCATAAACATAGTCATCTTGGGTAAGTTTTTCTTTGTAACAAGACAGGAGTGTGTTTTTCCACTGAACTACCCCACACACACACGCATCCCGCCCGCGCGCACACACACACAATCATATAAAAAAACAAAAACAGAAACCTGTTAGACAGGGGAAACTAGAGCTGTTTGAGACAGCGGAAACTAAACTGTTTGAGACAAGTACTTTTCATCTCTGATTTCTTTGGACATGTGTGTGTGCGTGTGTGTGCGTGTATGTGTGCGCGCTGTGTGTGTGTCCTCTATGCTATTACAGTATTTGTATTGGTCTTGGCTAGCATGTTGCCTAGACATACTGACCTGGCCCTAGCTGTTGTAATGTAACCATGATGCATGTTGGGACACGCTGTCTGAGAGTCAACCCCACCACAATGACACCTGTCTCCACAGCCACTGCTACACCTGTATGGCTTTAACAACTATTATGAATGTGTGAAAGAGTGAGAGACAGACATACAGTGGGGAGAACAAGTATTTGATACACTGCCGATTTTGCAGGTTTTCCTACTTACAAGCATGTAGAGGTCTGTAATTTTTTATCATAGGTACACTTCAACTGTGAGAGACGGAATCTAAAACAAAAATCCAGAAAATCACATTGTATGATTTTTAAGTAATTAATTAGCATTTTATTGCATGACATAAGTATTTGATACATCAGAAAAGCAGAACTTAATATTTGGTACAGAAACCTTTGTTTGCAATTACAGAGATCATACGTTTCCTGTAGGTCTTGACCATGTTTGCACACACTGCAGCAGAGATTTTGGCCCACTCCTCCATACAGACCTTCTCCAGATCCTTCAGGTTTCGGGGCTGTCGCTGGGAAATACGGACTTTCAGCTCCCTCCAAAGATTTTCTATTGGGTTCAGGTCTGGAGACTGGCTAGGCCACTCCAGGACCTTGAGATGC